CGTGTGTCTTGCTTTCCGACCGCCCCTCGCGGTCACCTGTCCCTCGATAGAATTCTTGGTGACTCGGATACTTTTGATATCGTTCGCCTTATGCGTTTTTGTTCTCGTATTGGCATCCTTGGTGATATTTAGCGCCCTCTGATTATTTTGCGTATTTGATGGAGCTACATAGCCATCCCGGTTTGGTGCCTTCTTTTGATAATTACTTACTTACTCGCCCCGCAGCGACAACTAGCGGAACACCAATAACCTATTCAGCATCGATCAGTCACGGTAAAGGATACGGATCACTGGTGTTCCTGGCAAGGGCTCCCAGTCCTTGGTCTACTGAATATACATCAATGCTGACATGGTGTCGTAAATCACGACACTCGACTCGTGGCACTCTGAGAACGTCACGTCTAAAGGAACAATTCTCAAAATGGACCTCGATTAAATTTGGTTCCGTCGGATGATGTTGGCACGAAATTCATGTTGCAATCCGTTCTCGCACTTGCTTATAGTCAATATCTTCTTATGAATTGCCGTGCTAGGCCGTGCTAAGCAATTAATTGCATTGCTTAGCACGGCCGGCGTTCGGTCTCTGATAAACCGAACGCTGGCCATACTATCGAACGGGGTCCTCACTCTGATAAAGAGGATGAGCCCCGTTCCTTCACTCTCCACCCCCCCCCCCCCCGGGCTCCTTATCACTACATCCCTCCCGAGTGCTATGTTGTCATGCAGGCTTCTCACTTCCTCATAATTATCATACATATTTTAGCAATATAAGGTTAGAAACCCCTCGAGGACTCCTAAGGCATGTATTGCTACTGGTCAATGCCTTCCTGTGCCTGAAAAGTTTCTAGACAAGACTAATAACATTTGTTCAAGCGTTCAGTAGTTGTTTTAGATTTAGCTGGTCAGAACGAAGTGTCCATGTAGCACGGGCTATGGTGAGCCCGTAAGTGTTCAGTAGTGTTCTGGTGCAATCGAACCAATTTATTTTATTATTAAGAGGCGGCCAATGTGGGTGGGGAATAAAGAACAATGAGTTTTCTATTTACATTTACTGTTTTGTATGTTATTTATCTACAAATGTATAAATTTAACCTAGAAATAGTCCAACATTTCAACAAGCAGATGACTGTACAGGTGAGAGCTGGAGCTTCACGGACCTCATAGTCTGATTGATCACTACAAACTTCTCCAACCTGCCCGAATGCCTTGACATTTGTATATAAGTAAATTATGTTCGAATCTAATTAAAAAAATGTCTTTTTAAATAATATCATAACACTTAAATAATATTTTAACATTTACATAATAATTTAACATTTACAATAATACTGTTACATTTACAAAATGGCATAAATAGCGTAAAATATATTAATATTGCACAACAGAAATAAAAACAAAATTAATTAACATGTTCACGTTAAATATTTGATAATGTGTAGCACAAAGGCCCGCAGGTCCCCAAGAGACGCTCCAAACATACACGCACCAACTTGCTGCAGTATATATATTAACTTCTTCAAACGATCTCTTCTCAAACATGAACTCCTTATTTATATTTATTAAACACTGTATGAACATTGGGGAAACTTTCCAATCAAATGTTATATAGTGTGACCGACGGCTCACTGTGGCTTCGAAGCCCATTAAGCTGCTTAATTATGGTAAACAAAGCCGCCAAAGAATGAGAACAAAATCACAAAATGGAGTTTGGTCAGTTCTTGCGTAACTGCTTGATGAGATCGCCTTCCCCCCCTCCCTCTCCCTGGGCAGTACAGTAATTAACCTGAACACATTCTGGGTCAATGATGTACCTGGCATTTACCCTCCGTGCTGATTGACGGTGACTTTCTCACCTGTTTATTAATTTGTCCAGTGGTACACATGGTACACTGGTACACATGACACGTGTGGTACACTGGTACACATGACACGTGTGGTACATATGACACGTGTGGTACATATGACACGTGTGGTACACTGGTACACATGACACGTGTGGTACACTGGTACACATGACACGTGTGGTACACTGGTACACATGACACGTGTGGTACACTGGTACACATGACACGTGTGGTACACTGGTACACATGACACGTGTGGTACACTGGTACACATGACACGTGTGGTACACTGGCACACATGACACGTGTGGGACACTGGTACACATGACACGTGTGGTACACTGGCACACATGACACGTGTGGGACACTGGCACACATGACACGTGTGGGACACTGGTACACATGACACGTGTGGTACACTGGTACACATGGTACATTGCGTGTACACAAGGTACACTGTGTGTACACATGGTACACTGTGTGTACACATGGTACATTTGGCACACTGGTGTACATTTGGCACACTGGTGTACACATGGTACATTTGGCACACTGGTGTACATTTGGCACACTGGTGTACACATGGTACACTGGTGTACACATGGTACACTGGTGTACACATGGTACACATGGCACACTGGTGTACACATGGTACACTTGGCACACTGGTGTACACATGGTACACTTGGCACACTGGTGTACACATGGTACACATGGCACACTGGTGTACACATGGTACACTGTTCGTTGTTATCACATACGGGACTGGAGATAACACTCAAGATCACCTCAGATAGGGAAGTCTAACCCTGGGAAGGGGGGAGGAGGGTAAACCTGGGGCGAGGGGGAAGAGGGTAAACCTGAAGCGAAGGGGGGGGGGAAGGTGGTAAACCCAGGGGGGCAGCGGGTGTTTCTGGGGTATACTGGGGGGGGGATGTAAACTTTTTTCATTACAGAAGTGAACCTCTTACCTGAAATTCGGGAATTAATAGGGGAAAAACTGTGTTACAGTTTTGGGGGGTGCCGGTCGGCCGAGCGGACAGCACACTGGACTTGTGATCCTGTGGTCCTGGGGTCGATCCCAGGCGCCGGCGAGAAACAATGGGCAGAGTTTCTTTCACCCTGTGCCTCTGTTACCTAGCAGTAAAATAGGTACCTGGGTGTTAGTCAGCTGTCACGGGCTGCTTCCTGGGGGTGGAGGCCTGGTCGAAGACCGGGCCGCGGGGACACTAAAAAGCCCCGAAATCATCTCAAGATAACCAAGATACAGTCAAAGTATGAACACTGATGACCGCCAGCATGTGTTAAGAATGAACACTGTTGAACGCCAACATGTGTTAAGAATGAACACTGATGACCGCCAGCATGTGTTAAGAATGAACACTGATGACCGCCAGCATGTGTTAAGAATGAACACTGATGACCGCCAGCATGTGTTAAGAATGAACACTGATGACCGCCAGCATGTGTTAAGAATGAACACTGATGACCGCCAGCATGTGTTAAGAATGAACACTGATGACCGCCAGCAGGTGTTAAGAATGAACACTGATGACCGCCAGCATGTGTTAAGAATGAACACTGATGACCGCCAACATGTGTTAAGAATGAACACTGATGACCGCCAACATGTGTTAAGAATGAACACTGATGACCGCCAACATGTGTTAAGAATGAACACTGATGACCGCCAACATGTGTTAAGAATGAACACTGATGACCGCCAACATGTGTTAAAAATGAACACTGATGACCGCCAACATGTGTTAAAAATGAACACTGATGACCGCCAACATGTGTTAAGAATGAACACTGATGACCGCCAACATGTGTTAAAAATGAACACTGATGACCGCCAACATGTGTTAAAAATGAACACTGATGACCGCCAACATGTGTTAAGAATGAACACTGTTGAACGCCAACATGTGTTAACAATGAACACTGATGAACGCCAACATGTGTTAACAATGAACACTGATGAACGTCAGCATATATTAACACATTAAGAACAATGATGCAAAGTGACATTTTTCTCAGTATACAAACAGTTATGAATATATTTGATTACGATTATTCCTGAACTTAGAATTAATTATGAGTGACTATAGAATGATGAGTGAACGTAGTATGATAACTTGGAATGGTATGAGAACTTAGAATAACGAGTGATACTTCAGACGGTAGTGGAATGACCCAGTAATATTGACCAAGGAGAACTAGTCAATACAACACGCTTGACCGTGTGTTGGTGTGCCTGGAGGCGGGGCAGTGCCAGCATTGTGGTCAGGCAGTTGATCAATACATGTTGGCATCAGGTTCTGGACTGGTGCTGCTGACACGAGGATGATACAGCCTCCGCCTCAGTGTGTTGATGGGCTCTAGTGTATCTCCACGGCACTCCCTCATTCTACCTCACTCCCTAGTCCCTTCCCTCACTCCCTCTTCCACTCTCTCTCACTCCCAAGTCCCTCCATCACATCTTCCATTATAGCCTTTCCTCTCATGCATTTCGCCCCTTCCCACCTTCTCCTCAATCCTCTCCCTCACAACCTCTCCCCTTTCAATACTGATACAGGCTTTTACAAACACAACCTCACAAAACACACACACACACACCAAAGTAAGAACGAATACTATCACGAAAACAAAAGAGTGGATTAAACAGCTCTCATTCTCCACAAAAGTGGTGAGCATTGACCCTCAAGGTGTACGACTTGCACTCTCAACATAGAGCGATCTGAAACAGCAAGATTTTATGGATGAAATTGTTCCAGAATTTTGCAGGTGATTCTCCTAAATGTTCCACCAGGAAAGAGAGTTGTTTCCAGACTGTCTCCCCCTTTCCACCACCACCCCAACCTACTATCCCTTGCGTCCCATTCCAGACGCCACCAGCCTCTGCGTTCCGCCCCAGATACTATCACCAAGACGGCAGCTGTTTCTGCCTCCCAGCCACGAAGTCACGTACTTCGGGGGGCCCCAAGCCCACACGCTATAGGCCCCTAGGAGGCCACGTGAACGCGTCACGCTAGCCGACAGGTGTTCTAGCAACACGCTGAGCGTAAAACACCTGTGCTCCAGCCCCCTCTCTTTTATTTTTTTATTCTCATCTGTTATCACTCTCGTTATTACTGCTGTTGTTAAAGCATCGCTATTTCTTTCACAATGTTTGTACTGTGGCTCTAAGAAAATTTCAAGACAAACAGGGTTGGATATACAGGAAGATTCTACACCCTCTACAACATAAATGCTATGTATATTCAATGAATAATTATACTTTAATATAGCACATAAATAACAGAATTAAATATGACTAGCTGCTTCACAAAGCATCGGAATGTTTGTTGGCAATACAAAAATATTTCCTAAATCAAAATTCCCTCTTCATGCAAGGAGAAGTTTAACCTCCACCGGAGTGGAACTGACTACCTCTGGAACGCAAGTCTGTCTTCAACTCAATGGTGTGTAATGATGTAAATTCACAATTAAATCTTAAACTATGATATCGAGCTGCAAATGATCCATTACAGTCAACGATCTCGACTGAGATTAAAATGTCATTGGAGTTCTTGATAGACTTTCTTGGTGACATTGGTCTGAACACTCTTACTAAACGTGTATATTAAGTGCAAATTCCTTTAAAAGCTTTTGACGTGATTGTATATTGATTTATTTGGAATTATTTCTATGGAAAAATCATCAGGAGGGTTTTAACAACGTTTTGAACTCCCCAACCTCTTAAAACTTAACAAGTTTAAGTATCGTCTTATGTAATCTAACACAAGAAAAAAAAGCGTATTGCTGAGAAATTCAGGCATCCACAATCTTTGGATCACGGCCGTATATGCAAATCCCTGCAGAGAACAACATCAGACTAGATACACTTAAGTCCGTGTGAAACATAGTCCGTTCAATAGCCTCCTTCGTCATCATGTTTCGAACTGGTGAGACAAAATTGATTTCTAACTCTGAAAGACTGCTGGTACACCCACTTGGTCCGGCACTTCAAGTCTAACTAGTACTGCTAACTTACTGGACACAAGTGCTCTCTTCATGCTGAAGTGAATTGGAGAAAATATAGTCACATCTCATACAAATACATTATCAGTGAAACTTTCTTGTAAATTTAAGGATTAAAACATATAATCATGTCCTCTACACCAGTTTCGAAATACTAAAATATTTGAGACTCGATTTGCTCCAAAAAAAATTAGCTTAGGGTACGAGAAAAGTATCCTACACAGTGTTTATGTTCTGGAGCCCTAAAGTGAACCAACTAATCAGCACGGAAATTCGACTTGTAACTTGGCTCGCAATTATTAAAATATAACAGGGAGGAAAACACTTTCACACGCATCTAATGCTGCTGAGCACTCCTGACACGTCGTACAGGACTTGTCAATAATGAATCAGTTTAGGGTTCCTCAGTATGTCCTCCTCTACGGCACATTGTTGCCACTGACACAGGAAACCCCAGGGATGAAAGCCTCTCTGGCCTTACGAGGGCACAGGACGGGATGCTTGGACAGATATGATTGGATCATCCGTAAGATGGTAGAGTGGTGTGTACACCCACTACCTGGGAGCCTAGATGGGAAAAATATATCCAGTGAAAGCTCAAACAGGAAATAAATGTGATTCCTCTTCTTCTTTGTACAAAATGCATCTCTACAATAGATGGAAGGCAACACTATAATACATGATCACCTTTATTAACTAATGGAGTTCGAGGAGGGAATTGAAATGACTAAAAAGGCAAGTCCAATTTCCACACTGAGATTGGTCTTTTAAATGTGGTCATCTGATCCAGCTCTTTCCCGCCCACTACGTACATGGCATTCGGGGATTGGGACTTGTACGTCGTTTCCTCCTTCAGGAAAGGATTAACACGAGGCGGTGGCTGCTCTCTTGTGCCCTCTGTGTTCCCTTGTGAGCTTGGGCCAGACGGCTCGTCGGTACCTCGCACTTGTTGACTAGAAGAAAATGTGACTTTGGCGGTGGAAGCTGGTTTGTGTGAGGAGGATGCTCCTTTGGTCCCAGCTGGTTGTTCCTTTGTGCGGGTCTTGCTGAAGTGGGCAGTTTGGTTGTCAAAAGTTACAAAATCTTCGAGTGTTGTTAGAGGAAGATCAAGTGGAGTTCGCCGTTCCATTTCAACGCCGAGTCCAATACCCGAGTCAGGTGGCGTCCGCAGTATCTCTGCAAACTCTTTATGACGGATGCTCTCGAGGTCGAGAGCTCCGGTCCTCCAGTAGTCTTGACTAAGGAGCCCTCCGGTATCTCTTCCAGGGTCAAATCCTACATAGTTGGGGTTGGCAAAACTGCTGACTCCGCTCATGTTGTAGTTGCTAGTGCTATACAGGTTGGTATTGCTACTGAGATTGCTGTCAGTGGTGCAAGAAAATGACATGAGGTTCTCACTGATGCTTGTGTCAGCAGACTGGATGGTGTCGTCGTGATTAAAAGCCAAGCGGCCCTTGATCCCAGCCACCAGGTCACTGGAATCATCCTCTAAGCTAGCCTCGGTTGACCCTTCGGCTGGCAAGACTGTGATGACCTTCACACGGCTGATGAACATCTTGGGCGACTCAGATTCCTCCTCACCGTCCTTTATATCCACGAAATTTGGCACTGAAACAATATCTCTCGTCAAGCCATTTTTTTCTTCATCTTTTTTCTCAATTTTGTCCTTATTCATCACATGAATGCTCTGAGACTTGACAATCTTGCTCCCTAAGCTGTCACAAGTGCTGGCTAACGACTCCTCCACTATGCTCTCCGTGCTGTCGTTACTCAGCATGCTATAGCTGTAATATCGACCCAAGTGCGACAAATTCAACTGTGAAAACTTGGAAATGGACAACTTTAACTGTGCAGCGGGAGCATTTGAACAGTTTTTTTGTATTATTGAACGTAGCCGACTGGGATCCAGATCCTCATCATCATCAGCTTCAACACACTCTTGGCAAGCACACCCTACCTGGCCCCCATCATCCGGGCCCAGGGGCCTCCCCACACCCTCGCTCGTCGACGGCCCATCTCCGGGAGTCAGAGAGTCATCGGGATGAATTCTCCTGGTCCGATACGAGTCATGACTCTGGGAACTGCTGTAGCCGCTGCTGCTGCTGGCGGCGGAGGAGGAGCCCATGCGGGAGGAAGGGGCCTGGAAGCGAGGGCCCTTCATGTGATGTGAAGGGGCTACGAAGGCGCAGAACTGAGACCTGGGCTGAGGCCTGATGCCGGAGAACAGGAGGCGTTCCCAGGTGCACGTGGCTGTGGAGAGAGAGAAAACATTGTTATATCACTCTTAAGTCAGTTCGGAATATGTTGAACTCCGACGTGTGTCTTGGTAGTGGGCATGGGGTTGTATTGGTACTGGGGCACGGGGTGTACTGGGAGTGGGCATGGGGGTGTACTGGGAGTGGGCATGGGGGTGTACTGGGAGTGGGCATGGGGGTGTACTGGGAGTGGGCATGGGTTGTAATGGTACTGGGGCACGGGGGTGTACTGGTAGTGGGACATGGAGTGTACCAGTTGTGTAATATGATGTGTACTGGTTATTTGTAATAGGTCTAGAGACCCAGCCTGAATTCATCACTCCGACTAAGGAGAACTGTCTCCCCCCCCCCCCCTCCCATTGACTTTACAGTTCACGAGCTCAAGGGGCTATGAGGTCGTGTATGATGATGATAACCATGGGTTGAGGTCGTGTATGATGATGATAACCATGGCTTGAGGTCATCTATGATGAGCTGGTCTTGGTGACGACGCACAGATGACCTCATACGATGTCACAAGTGACATACAATGTCACTTTGTTGCTGGAGTTGCCCGTCCTCTTGACCCTCCACAACGTCAACAAAATGATGTGCTAAATTGCCTGAACCTAACCTACCCAAGGACCCACCAATAGAAAACGGGAACAGCCCGTCAATTCTGTGAACCAATATGATGTGAACCCGTCCTAGTATAGTACATCGCATTTTTTACGTACAAGTCCCCTAAGGCCCCCCAAAAAATCGATGCACTAAAATCATAGCGGTATGCAAAGTTGATGTGATGTCCCGTTTTCTTTTCTTGGATTTTCAGTTATGTTAGGTTTGGATAATTTAGTACATCATTTTGTTGATGTTGTGGAGGGTCAGGAGGACGGAGTGGAGTGTTTTAATTATTATATATATATATATATATATATATATATATATATATATATATATATATATATATATATATATATGTCGTACCTAGTAGCCAGAACGCACTTCTCAGTCTACTATGCAAGGCCCGATTTGCCTAATAATCCAAGTTTTCATGAATTAATGGTTTTTCGACTACCTAACCTACCTAACCTAACCTAACCTAGCTTTTTCGGCTACCTAACCAAACCTAACCTATAAAGATAGGTTAGGTTTGGTTAGGTTAGGTAGGGTTGATTAGGTTCGGTCATATATCTACGTTAATTTAAACTCCAATAAACAAAAATTGACCTCATACATAATGATATGGGTAGCTTTATCATTTCATAAGAAAAAAATTAGAAAAAATATATTAATTCAGGAAAACTTGGCTTATAAGGCAAATCGGGCCTTGAATAGTAGGCCAAAAAGTGAGTTCTGGCTACTAGGTACGACATATATATATATATATATATATATATATATATATATATATCTTTATACAACACGTTTAATTGGAATTATTTATATTAGTTATTATATATATTAAATTTGAATTATTAATTGTGCAAAGTTAATTGTTATGATTTTATAAAACACGCTAAGTGGATTGACTCTTGCAAAGTTTGAACAGCCTTGATGATCTTGCTCGTTAATTAATTGGGACCTCCCCAAGTTTATTGGCTTGAGAAATGAATCCCACAAATGATTTAAGACATATTTCAACGATGAATTAATGACTGTCTAATGACAGAACTGTCATCTGTCTATCATCTTTCATCATCTGCCTGGACACGTCTGCCTGTGAGAACTTGTGTATGCTCCCTGGAAACACAAACCGAAATTGTCTATTTTCCGCTTGTTACAACTTGTAATAAAGTTGTCACATCTTGACTTAACGTGTTTTTGACGTATTAGAACGTTGTTACAACTTGCTATATAGGTTGTTATAACTGGTTAGGAAGTGTTAAAACTTGTTCGAACGTTGTACCAACGTCGTAGTTTCGGTGTGTGTTTGGAATGCTTTGTTCCCTCCCTTGTGTAGAGGGACTATGTCTGTTGCTTTCAGCGCATCTGGTAGCTCCCCTGTGTCCAAGCTCTTCCTCCACACTATACTGAGTGTCTGTGCTACAGGCACTTTGCATTTCTTTATAAATATTGAATTCCATGAGTCTGGACCCGGGACTGAGTGCATGGGCATATTGTCAATTTCTCTTTCAAAATCTGCTACGCTCGTGTTGATATCAGTTATATTTGCATGTGTTTGGATATCACTCATAAAGAAGTTGTCTGGATCTTCCATTTTCATGCTGTGTATCGGAGTGCTAAACATGTCCTCATACTGTTTTTTTAGGATTTCGCTAATTTCTTTGTCATCCTTCGTGTACGAACCTTCGCTAGTATGAATAGGTCCAATACTGGCAGTGGGTTTTGCTTTTGATTTAGCATATGTGAATATTTTGGGATTTTCTTTATTTCTTGAACTGCTTTCTGTTCTAGTTGCCTTTCTTCACTCTCTGTTCGATTTCTTCAATCTCCCTGTTTAAATGCAACCCGATATTCCTTCTTTGTATAGAAAGTCGTGTCTGCTTAAGCAATTCCGTTAATTCCTTCTATCTTTTGCAATGTCTGCGTTCTCATTCTACATTGGGCCTCTTTCTGGCTTTCCTCAAAGGAACATGTTTCAGACAGACTTCATATGCTTCAGAAGTCAGTTTTTTTATTCCTTGTCTAGGATTTTTATTCCTTAGAACACTTTCCCATTGAATGTTTGTAAGTTCCCTGTTTATTTTCTCCCAGTCTATCCTTTTATTATTAAAATTGAATATATTGAATACTCATTCTCGCTTGTTGTTTCTCTTGGGCCTACTACCGTTATTAATGTTAGTTTGCACTTCAATGAGCTTGTGGTACGTAGTGATTAGCTCATCATTGTTCGTGAATATCAGATCCAGTGTGTTTTCGCTCCTAGTTGGTTCTGTAATCTACTGACTGAGCGAGAATTTGTTACAGAATCTCAGTAGTTCTCTGATTTGTGGTTGGTTATTTCCAGGTTGATTTCCTGCTATAATGGTATTGTTTACTATTCTCCATTTTAAACTGGGTAGATTGAAGTCTCCAAGGAAGATAATATCTGATACTGGGTATGTGAAGTGAAGTGAAGAGCAGGGGTGCCATAGGCACAATCAGAGAACACTGTATAAACATCAGGGGTCCGCGGTTGTTCAACGTCCTCCCAGCGACTATAAGAAATATTGCCGGAACAACAGTGGACATCTTCAAGAGGAAACTAAATTGTTTCCTCCGAGGAGTGCCGGACCAACCGGGCTGTGGTGGGTATGTGGGCCTGCGGGCCGCTCCAAGCAACAGCCGAGTGGACCAAACTCTCACAAGTCAAGCCTGGCCTCGGGCCGGGCTTGGGGAGTAGAACTCCCAGAACCCCATCAACCAGGTATCAACCAGGTAATGTGCGTTTACATAGCTAACCGCAATTCTGAGCAGCTTACACATGCCCTGTATTCACACACATACACATACACATATATATATATATATATATAGATACATCTAAATTTATGTCTCTCGTACTCTGACAGGGTAAAATGGCTGCTATAGAAACTAGTGTGTTATAAAGCACTTAACCACTGAAGGTGATTAATATGTTTTTACAAGCTCAGGTTAGAGTTACGTCACATACATTGTATAACTGATGTATTACATAGTCAATCTTGGGTACAGGTCCAGTATATCATCAAGTGTTCCAGTGTTCAGGGAGTATTTACAGAGTTCAGCATACCTCAGCCCAGGAGAGCGACAGTCAATATGGGACAATCTACCATATAATGTTCAATGGAGTGCACGTTTTCTCTTTCACAAAGTTGACAGATTGTGTCATGTGTCATTTGATATATTTGAGTCGACATTTGACTCATGACTCGACATTTGAGTTTTGAGAAAGCTGCCAGATACGGCTATATCCCGGACGTATTCTGGCCACTATAACATCACATTTATTTATTAATAAACATTATGATGAATGAAGGAGACATTTATATATGGAACTAATAGCGCAAGAACTCGGCAATGTGATGTTATAGTGGCCAGAATACGCCTGGGATATAGCCGTATCTGGCAGCTTTCTCAACACCCAAATGTCCAATACACCATGTGTCAACTTTATGAAAGAGAAAACACGCATTCCATTGAACATTAAATGGTAAACTGTCCCATATTGAGTGACTCGCTCTCCCGGGTTGAGATATGCCGAACTCTGTAAATCCTCTCTCAACACTGTAACACTTTATGATACTGTACCTATCTAGCGTGAGGGTCGAGATCAACCCGCTCTCTCCGGCGCGACAACACCTGTGAGAGGGCCGAGATCAACCCGCTCTCTCCGGCGCGACAACACCTGTGAGAGGGCCGAGATCAACCCGCTCTCTCCGGCGCGACAACACCTGTGAGAGGGCCGAGATCAACCCGCTCTCTCCGGCGCGACAACACCTGTGTGAGGGCCGAGATCAACCCGCTCTCTCCGGCGCGACAACACCTGTGTGAGGGCCGAGATCAACCTGCTCTCTCCGGCGCGACAACACCTGTGTGAGGGCCGAGATCAACCCGCTCTCTCGGGCGCGACAACACCTGTGAGAGGGCCGAGATCAACCCGCTCTCTCCGGCGCGACAACACCTGTGAGAGGGCCGAGATCAACCCGCTCTCTCCGGCGCGACAACACCTGTGTGAGGGCCGAGATCAACCCGCTCTCTCCGGCGCGACAACACTTGTGAGAGGGCCGAGATCAACCCGCTCTCTCCGGCGCGACAACACCTGTGTGAGGGCCGAGATCAACCCGCTCTCTCCGGCGCGACAACACCTGTGAGAGGGCCGAGATCAACCCGCTCTCTCCGGCGCGACAACACTTGTGTGAGGGCCGAGATCAACCCGCTCTCTCCGGCGCGACAACACCTGTGAGAGGGCCGAGATCAACCCGTCCTCTACAACGCGTAATACCCACCGAAGTGAAACCTCCAGAGATCGTTGAGCATCTCGCCCTGACGCTCGCCGCCGAACACGACCATGGAGGCGTGGAGCTTGGCGGCGACGTGGGAGTGCAGGTAGCCCGGGTGTGGCCGCGCCCGCACCTGCGTCCACGTCAGACTCACTGCGGAGGACATAACCTAATATAAGAATTACGGACACTACAGATGGCCTGGAGGCCCGTGTGATGAGGCTCCTCTGTACCTGTTATAATTATCATTCACGAAAGTGTTCAGACTGTGAATGATTTTCTAGAGTTAGCCTAACAAGTCTAATTTAGAGATTTTTTTTTTAGATTTGAACTTTTGGAATGATTATATAGTAGTAGTAGTAGGCATCCATCGGTCTCAGGAGACTATGGAGTTGCGCTCTGATGTCGGCCTGGTCTGGAGTGGCCTCACCAGGGCGCAAAGCCAGGGTAGGTTGATTCGGGGAAGAAGCTGTTACCCAGGCAGCAGGTCCTCCCTCTCCACGGCGCTGAAAGTCTCCAATGGAAAGGCATACGCCAATACGATTGGTTCCAGCGCCGTCGCAGGAACTGGGAGTTCCGGGGATGACCTCGAAACGTTCCGGATGAACGTTTAAAATTAGTAACACTAATTTTAAACGTTCAAATCGAAAAAAAAAATATATAACTAAATTAGCCTTGTTAAGCTAACTTTAGAAAATCATTCACAGTCTGAACACTGAACGACAGTGAAGAAAATCGTAAGAAATATTGAGAAGATTCGTCTTAGAATCATTAATCTTACCCTTTTGGTCATATTCAACAACATATATTATTTAATGACCAATAAAAATTTTAATCAACACTATATGAGCAGCTTAACCTAACTTACATGTGCATATTATTCAACAATACTCCAGAACAAGGCTTAACACAATTTTATTAATTTGTCAATAAACCGTTGATACTAGTGGTGAAATAATTTCTAAAATCCGAAGCTGTCACTCTACCAACTAGGCCATGACGCTGACAAAAGGAAAGTACCTTCATGGTAACCATAACCTGCAGTGCATCTTGAGTACACAAGCCTTGCATCGTCTCACACACTGACCTGTGTCGTAGCGCCAGAAGTCATTCCTCTCCTGTAGGTCGGTCATGCCGCCGTACACCCACATCTGGTCGTCGTGCATCACGGCAGAGTGGGCGTGACGTGGGGCCGGCTGTTCCCCCCTCGATGACACCTGCGTCCACGACTCGTCCCCTGTGGAAGTCAAACTCTTGTGAGCTCCTTTGAGTCAATGACAGGCAGTCACTGGATTCAGTGCTGTGTTGTACTGATTTGTTACCCGAGTGGTTCCTAGTACTGTGGTGGCTAGTGGTATGGTATTCCTAGTGCTGTGGTATTACCCAAGTGGCTCCTGGCGAGGTTTTGCCTCGCCCTTAAGTTAGGCGCGGTAACTGCTAATATTACCAGATAAAGTTACGTTCCCACACACACACAACGTCTCATAGCCTCATGGAGCGTGGCAGGGGATGCTGCATCAGGCCAACCTTCTCCTCACAGCTGCGGTATAAACTAAGGTAGAGTCTGTTAGGCGTGTTCGACCTCCTCCCACCGGGCGCCATGATGGTTTTGTACAATTTGTATAACCTTCACCGGACACCTGCGCACAAAGTCGCTTGGAAAACGCCCGGGTAACGCGTTGCGTTAGTTTGGGGATACCAGAGGCGACGTTTTATGTGCTACTGGAACTTTAAACAGCATAAGATATTATTAACTTTACGTTATCAAGTCTTACCTAAGCTGGATCTTGTTTTTCCTAACACAACCTTACGTATTTTGGCCTGACCTTAACCACGCTGTTCCAGCAACCTGTCCTCAGGGAGGAAATACGCTCACTGGAATGGATTTGAGACCGACGTCATAATTAGTGTTATTTTCTATTATTTATCCATGGTTAGGTTAGGTTAAGGTTTGATTAGGTTAGGTTTCATTACATTTTGTTACGTCAATATGGAGTATAATTGACGATAATGTGTGGAGGGAATTTGAAAACTATTTCAGTGCCCCCGAGAACTGTGTTTACAGAAAACCAAATTCTTTACAGAAAACTTTTTTCATCATACACTTTTTATATTTTATACCAACGCTATAATAAAATTATAACGAAAATAATCGAGAATAATAACAAATAACAAGAATAATATAACGAGAATAATCTAACATTCTTTCAGACCAAATATCACAAATATCTACATAACTATCCAGGTGGTGTGTGGGAGGGTGTAGTGTCTCATAGTAACGGATGTGGTCTGAGGACTGGCCGGCTCCTCACATAACCTAAACAAATAATCCTGGAATTGAAGGTAACGCTTGACGCCCTGACTGCTGAGTCTCACAGGCACAGTCTCTCACAGACACAGAGACTGACAGACATCACTTCCGAGCACTGCATACATCTTCTGGGAGACCTATTAGTGAGTATGCTGACGCAGCATTGAATCCCCTACCTAAAGATGCACAAAACACAGCTAAAAAATGTTTCAAAAGATAGGCAAAAAGAGGCTCGTTCCCGAGCTAAGGGGACTGAGCTATGAAGAAAGACTGACGGAACACTGAGGGGAAGATTAAGGAATCGGAGACATGATAACGACGTACACAATACTAAGGGGAATTGCCCGAAGATATGAAAAAATGTTCAAATTAAGGAACAGTTGAACGAGAGGATATAATTGGAAACTAAACACAGATGAGTCACAGGGACGTCGTAAATAAGTGGAACGGATTAGAGGGGAAATTTGTCATAGCCAATTCGATACACAGCTTTAACTGTAAATATGAACTGAAAAACGAGAGAAAAAGAGTCACTGTACTGGTGGAAAGGCGGAATATAAGAGCACAAGCTCAACTCTGTAAGCTCAACCAGGTGAGTACACAGCCACACATCAGACCAACAAAGACCTACAGATTCACAACAACAGACCCGTGAACATCATTACCAAGCAGTACACAAATTACAATAGCGTGATGCATCAAATGAACAAATCTACAAGGGCCGTGACGAGGGTTCGAACCTCGTCTGGTTCGAACTTAAGGAAACGTCTGGGATCCTCTCGGACGTAGGTTCGAATCCTCGTCACGACCCTTGTGGATTTGTTCATTACCAAGCAGCTTTAATGTCTCCGAACGCTCAAAAACCGTATTTTTCAATAAAGAGTTTTACTCGTAATTGTATCTACTGCGTCAAAAATACTTAATTCACGTTTTCTCTTTAATATTAAAAGCATGGACTAAAAATAATTTTTTGGGGGGCATACAGCCCTTTGGGGAATTATCAGTAAGCCACAGATAATCTTATTAGTGGCACCCAACAGTTCAAATAATCTATATTGATAATCATATTACCTCACGCTGGCTTAACTATATTATTCACTGATTTTATACATTCGCTGACCCAAATAGGGATATATTTAATATCCCGATTTATAAAATATTTAACTGATATTTAAACATAAAATATTTATGTTTTTGTCTTCTCTTTACATCCCTATTATATGCATGTATTGCAAATGGCTAACGTTTATATATATATATATATATATATATATATATATATATATATATATATATATATATATATATATATATATATATATATATATATATATATATTTATATATATGTCGTACCTAGTAGCCAGAACGCACTTCTCAGCCTACTATGCAAGGCCCGATTTGCCTAATAAGCCAAGTTTTCCTTAATATAGTTTCTCCAATTTTTTTCTTATGAAATGATAAAGCTACCCATTTCATTATGTATGAGGTCAATTTTTTTTTATTGGAGTTAAAATTAACGTAGATATATGACCGAACCTAACCAACCCTACCTAACCTAACCTAACCTATCTTTATAGGTTAGGTTAGGTAGCCGAAAAAGTTAGGTTAGGTTAGGTAGGTTAGGTAGTCGAAAAACAATTAATTCATGAAAACTTGGCTTATTAGGCAAATCGGGCCTTGCATAGTAAGCTGAGAAGTGCGTTCTGGCTACTAGGTACGACATATATATCTATATATATATATATATATATATATATATATATATATATATATATATATATATATATATATATACATAAAACGTTAGCCATTTGCAATACATGCATATAATAGGGATTCGTGTTCTGTCTTGTGTTAGAATTTAATACCCATTTAATACCCATTGTTGAAAGTTCGTTTTCACCTCATCCACCTCATCCAAATGTAGATATAAACTCGAAGATGTGCAAAGCTCTATTCAGCTTCAGTTGTGTGTTTGCAAACTAAAGACTTTGAAAATGTAATAAGTTTTAGGAAACGCGCTCAAGTGTCGCGTCAGACTAGAAATAAAAATGAATTTTGGAGAATTGATCTTTGAATTACCATCAACAGTGAAAAGAAACATAAGAAAGATAGAGAAAATTCGTGTTAGAATTATTAATCTTACTTTTTCGGTCATATTTAATAATATATGTCTACAGGAAAGACTGCTACCAAAATATATAAAATATATATATATATATATATATATATATATATATATATATATATATATATATATATATATATATATATATATATATATATATATATATATATATACACACACACACTTTCTCTATGAAGAATATCATGCAAATGGCATTAGAGTTTGATATCCTCAAGATTATTTCCCAAGAGAAGGCCGCAGACGGCGCCTTGTGTAATGTCAGTCCTCATCATCCTATACACATCGCTTAACTCACTCTAAGTGAATGATATTTTTTTTTGTATTAATACATTAGATACTTGTGCATTAGTGCAGCTGCCCTAGACTATATGAAGGGGAGTACAGTGTGTCAAAAACGTGATGCTAAAAATCTCCATCACACAGGATGGTTAGTCATACAGAGGCATGTGATCAGTAGTCTGCACTGACAGACTCTGGGTGCATGATGAGGATATCATCAACACAAGAGTGAATAAAGCAGCAGTAGAACTGAGTCTCCATCTCGCAGGATGGTTAGTCATATGGAATGACAATTAAATCCTTAGCCTAAACTCTGCCTATGGCAATATCACACCATATTTCACCATAAACAATTCACGCAAATGTAGTGACTCTCGTCTCATTGATCATCCTCACCATTTGCAACTTTTTGTTTTTGTATATGTACATTGCGTTAATTAAATGTACATTGCGTTAATTAATTTCCACTATAAATAATGAACGCAATACGTTCGGGACTCATTTATACCTAATAAACAGCCCCAGATTTTCTGTAAATAAGATGAATTCGGACCCAAATAAAGTTTTAAGAGTTAAAATTGAAAGTTAATGGATCAATAATTAAAATTTGGGAATTAAATCCGATGCTGACACACCAGACCACAGCATGCTGACACACCTGACCACAGCATGCTGACACACCTGACCACAGCATGCTGACACACCAGACCACAGCATGCTGACACACCTGACCACAGCATGCTGACACACCAGACCACAGCATGCTGACACACCTGACCACAGCATGCTGACACACCTGACCACAGCATGCTGACACACCAGACCACAGCATGCTGACACACCTGACCACAGCATGCTGACACACCAGACCACAGCATGCTGACACACCAGACCACAGCATGCTGACACACCTGACCACAGCATGCTGACACACCTGACCATAGCATGCTGACACACCTGACCACAGCATGCTGACACACCTGACCACAGCATGCTGACACACCTGACCACAACATGCTGACACACCTGACCACAGCATGCTGACACACCAGACCACAGCATGCTGACACACCTGACCACAACATGCTGACACACCTGAACCACAACATGCTGACACACCTGTCCACAACATACTAACACACCTGAACCACAACATGCTGACACACCTGTCCACAACATACTGACACACCTGACCACAACATACTGACACACCTGAACCACAGCATGCTGACACACCTGAACCACAGCATGCTGATACACCTGACCACAACATACTGACACACCTGTCCACAACATACTGACACACCTGAACCACAACATGCTGACACACCTGAACCACAACATACTGACACACCTGACCACAACATGCTGACACACCTGTCCACAACATACTGACACACCTGACCACATCATGCTGACACACCTGACCACAACATACTGACACACCTGTCCACAACATACTGACACACCTGAACCACAACATACTGACACACCTG